GAGTGATTCATTTTGTGATTTTAAAATATTTTTCTACTTATAAATATGATACATATTTCTGTAGACAATCTACAAATAAAAAATATAACTATAATTTCATCGCCAATGACTTTTCTTCCAAGGTGTGTGAGCACACACGTGTGTCTGTGTTTGTGTACAAAATATATATATGGGAAATGATAGTATGTAAAGATATTTAATTTAGATCATTCCACATGAAAGCTTTCCTCCAGTTGTCGTATGAACACTGGCTTTGTTAAGTATACATCACAAACATCATGTATACGTTGCGTGACATTCTGTAAAGATGTGCCACCTAGTTTGACTATTTCCGTGTTGTTAAACCTTTAGTGTGGGCCCAAACTAATTCATCTTGAAATATACATTATTTGATACCATATTCAGTGAGTTCTTTGGGGGGTTGTATAAAACTTAAAAACCTAATTATTAAAAAACAAATCTCTGTGTGATCTCCCTCTGTAGAAGAAAATTACAAATACACACTTAAATACAATATTGCATCCTATTTCAGAAGGTGCATAAACGCCAAGAAGCTCATCCATAGAGTCTTGTCCCCAGAGCTTCAGGTCAGAACCAACAACATAAAATACATCAATATGAAACAGAACAAAAAAGTACAAAGACTTTATTAATTGTGGAGACGTATAATCTCTAAAATATTGCTGGCTACCATAACGTGGCCCAATCCCTGTCCACCCTTTCTTATGTTTGAAATAGTCCATGTTTTAAATTCTACGTTAATGCTTCTCTATGACTTTCACTGAATGATAATGTGTCACCTGATGTATCTTTATTGCCCTTAGTGATAGGAAGTCTCTGCAGGACTCTCAATGCGCAGTCTTTTCTTACTTTGAGGTCTTGCAACCTGGAAACCTGGGACATTTGCCACCCTGCCTTCTGTCACTCCTAATTATCTCATATACCGTTCCATTTGAGCAAAGACACATCATGACTTCTCATTGGATAATACAGTTACTTAAAGAAAGAGAACATTTTATAGTAACACCGAAAATAAACTTAACAAACTTAAAATGTTATATAGCCTGAAGACAGATCAGCACAGAAGCAATGTATTATAGCAATTTCAGGACTCAAGGTTTTAACTTGGCCTGCCTTTGTGTAGTTCGGAACAAGGAGGATCACAATCTCTATCACCTGAGTGGTACACTCTGTCTGATACACAGTCTACAATAATGAGACTGACTCTACATGCCGATTTCTACAACTTCTAAAAAACTCTAATACGTTCTCAATAAAAAACTTGTTTTGTATTTTCAGTTTGATGTTTCCATCTGTTTGTTTCTGAAGACAGAAGAATTTCTGATGTAAAAGCTGGGATATAAAAAAGCATAGACCCGTGGCTGCTCTTGTCTGCGTGCAAGGTTATGTCAGTGGGTGCTAGAACTTCTAATTATTATTAGGTTTCAAACAGTGATCAAAAAAATTTTTTTCTGAAAGCAAATCCAAGAATAATTCTTACTAATTCACGTCTTTCTCTCCCTCACAGTTGCATCATCCCTCCCAAGGTTTCCGCTTTGGAACTGTCCGAGAAAGCAGTGCTGAAGATTATGTGAGGCAAAGTTTCCCCGAGATGCACGAATACATGAGAAGGTACAACGTCCCAGCCACCCCCGATGGAGTGGAGTATCTGAAGTGAGTGTCAACCTCTTGCATCCCAAAAGTTCTCACTGAAGAGAAGTCATTTAGATACTGATGTAGTGTTTGCCGGATTTTGAAAATGACAGATAAATGAGCCATGGTGTGTTGAGGAATACCTCATGCTGTGTGAGATCCAGGAGGCAGTATGGAATAGCATGCATTTAATTATGTGACCTAGATTGCTAGTTACCTGCCTAGTCTCACGTTGGCAGTAGCTTTGTTCAAAGAGCCAGTGGGACTATTAGTGTAGCAGATGGTGGAGGAGGAAAATGTTGGCTTGACATCGCTTAAGAAAACAATGGTGCTGAAATGATCCAACACGCAGGGAATGTAGCCAGAGGATAATGTGTCCCAAGGCAACCCTATCCTTCACAGTGAATCTCTGAACCCAGGGAATGCCTCCTCTTGCCACAAGGAAATGGAATTTATCTTAGAGATTTCCTGTAGAAAGGAAATAAGTTAGAAGGCAATGATTCCAGGCCTGCATCCTTCTCATCAGAATTTATGAGAAGCAATCAAGAGAAATCACATTGCCGTGGCAGATTATCAGAGCCTGTAGTTCAGTGGAGCCGAATGCAAAGGCGGGTGATGCAGTTATGGGTCTGGCCTGCAGTCTGCCTGGGAGAAGGGAATGAATGACTCCTGATAAGCCCCAGTGCAGGAGGGTGAGCCCTCCCCTCCCCCTGCCCCATAGCATCATGACAATAGCAGACATCCAATCCTCTGATTCCTAGACTTGTGTAAGGTCAGGAAATGGGTTTTTCCATAGTCAGCTGCAGCAGTCTTCCCAGCAGACAAAAGAATCTGCTGCCCCAAATTATTTTTTAAGAAAAAGAGAAAATAAATAATTCCATGGGACATAAGGGCTTTGTCTTTTAGGGGAGCTTTAGTAGAAGGCCACTTAGACAATTTTATAGATGTTTAACTGTAGCTTAGAGAAAACCCTTGTTCTTCCATATTTGCAAAGTTGTCTATGGTGTCTAAGTACTATGAAATGCCACTCTTAATTTTGCAAGAACATCAAAACATTAGAGTTCCTCTCTGACTAGGAGTGCAGAATCCCTGTGCCTCCCAGATCCTCTTCTGGATTCTCTCCTTCAGGCAAATTCAGGGCTGAGAGAGCAAGATGTCAGGGAGATAGCATTGGTTCCCAGTTCAGTAGGAATGGCTGACATACTGCTGTCAGGGTGAAAAGGATGAGTCGTGCCACTGCCTCAGGTCCCCAAAAGTTCTACTCCACTCAGGGTGTTCATGTAGTCCAGGACCCACCTGAGAGGGCCCCCAGTGCCCAGCATTGACCCCACCTGAGCCTGCAGAAAGCAGTCCTTTACGAAATCAGGCACAGATGATGAAATAAATTTTCCATGGGAATGCAGCCTAGTCTAGGCTGAGCCATGATGGAAGAATAGGTCCTGGGTCTTCAAATAATAGTCCATGTTCCAGTTAGTATCTGGGAGCCAGTTAGAACTGCAGCCTCTGGGGTCTCATCCCAAACCTACTGTGCCAGAAGCTGTAATTTAACAAGCCCCCAGGTAGTTCACTGGTTACAAGTGAAATACAGGCAGAGCTTATCATTAGTGTCCTCTCACTTCTTTTCTTTGGGCCTTTTCTCTCCACTTTTAGCATAATCACTTCCTGTGCACTTAGGCACCACTCCAAGTAACCTCAGTCTTCATGTCATTCCTCCGGCATCCCACAGCTCTGACCTACCAGGCACACCCCCTGAAGTCGCTGGTGCAGGACAGGGTCCTATGCGCAGGACATGTCCTTCTCTCCCATCAAAATTCCCCTGAGTTTAGTCCTACTCTCGCAGGGCCCTACTTTTTAAGGTGACAGTTTTTCAATAAATTAATTCCTATTAAGATGCTCATTTATTTTAGTATGCTGATAGATGGCTGGGGGTTTTTTGTGGTATCTTATATGTATTTTTAAATGAATGCTCAAGAAAAGATCATGATTCTGTAATAGAAGAAACAACTGGAGGCCCCTTCCAAGCACAACAGTGATTCAGCCAGTCTGGAGGCCACTTACACCTGGATCATACTGGCCATGGCCTGACCAGTGACTCAGAGTCCCTGGAGAATCTGTGAGCTGATTCCTTCTTGTTGTCTTACATAATACAAGTCTGTCATAGCTAACTGCACTTTGGAGCCCAAAGTCAGGAGTAGTTCACTGGACTTCAGGAATTACTGGTCCAACAAAATGAACCACAATTTTCTTCTATGACCACGTTGCTATCACCAATACGTGTGGAATATTAGCAAATGGTAACTTGTTGCTGGGTAGCCCCCAAAGTGCATTCTGCTACTGTGGTAGTAAAACTTTGATTAGAGAAACACTTTTCAGCTCAATTTTGATTTTATTGCCAGGATTTCTTTAAGTTTCTTCATCATCAGCTCCTAGGAGACAATTCACATCCTCAACCCTTTCTAAAGCTTTGCTAGGGAGCTTGGAGATACTTTCAATTTTGCTTAATATTAAACTTAGGCCTCCCTGTAACTTAAATCCAATATCCCCTGGAAAGGGGGATGCATTATAAATTGGCTATTTCACTTCCCAGAAGTACAGGAAAAGGAAGCAACGATCCCTGGCACCAAAAACAGAAGTTGACCTATATGACTTTGTGTCCATAAGTGGCCCAGATAAAGGCATTCACGCAAAGATATGTATCCTGCTCAGTGATGAACCTTTCAGGTGTCTGGGGATGTCTTTCTCTTTTAAATTGTTGATGGACCCAGCTGTATTCTCCACTGAGTTTAGAGGCCACTTCTCTGTGAAGAATTCCAGAAGCCCCATTCCTGGCTCTCCCAGACCAAGCACTGAGCTCAGAAGGAATAGAGAAGAATTATTCTCTTTGCAAAGCTGTTTGGACAACTCAGAGGGTAGAAAGCTTTTATTAAATGGATATATGTTCTACCTACACCTTTCCAAAAAGGGTTTGAAGTAGCTGAAAACAAAGAAGTCATTATGTATGCCTTAGACCTGCAGCCCCCCGCTCCCCAAGCTGCAGACTGTTACTGACCCATGGACTATCAGGAGCCAGGCCTCACAGCAGAAGGTGAGCAGCAGGCAAGCAAGCCAAGCTTCCTCTGTACTTACAGATGCTCCCCATCACCTGCATCCCCACCTGAGCTCTGCCTCCTGTCAGATACGCAGAAGCATTAGATCCTCATAGGAGCTCGAACTATACTGTATGCCGTGCATGCAAGGGATCTAGGTTGTGAGCTCCTTATGTGAATCTGATGCTTGACAATCTGAAGTCAATGTCATGCTCTTAAATCATCCCAAAACCATTCCCTCACCCCATTCCATGGAAAAATTATCTTCTGTGAAACCAGCACCTGACGCCAAAAGGTTAGGGACAGCTGCCTTAGACAATTCCCTTTAAATCTCTTCCTTCCTTGCCCTCTTTGTAAGTGTCAGTTCAGTCTGTGCTGAGACATAACCTTCATCTGGACCATTTCTGTATCTATGTTCAAAATATGAGAAGAGTTTCATGAGTGATACCCAAGGCGTATGATGACAGCTTGATCCAGCTTATTGCTAATTCATTAAAACAGCCCAGGGACACCTACTTTAAATTACTCTTGCCTGAACTGCCTACTAGAGTGGAAATGACCTGTGACTCTCTGGGGATACAGCAATAAATCGGGTCACTAAGATCTATTCTATAAGCTTCCCCTTTCATTTTTGGAATGCCAACCTATGTGGGGACTTTTAAAGAAACCATAACTTCCTTTTTCCCAAAAGTACTATATCTCTTACATGTATCGCCTTAAAACTCTACTGCTAAATATAAAGTAATATTTGGTTTCCAAAGAATGTTATTGTGCTCATCACAAAAAGAAATAAAAATTTCAAATACTGATTAATGAGACTGCCTGGATCCCATATTTACTATCTATATAACCTAGGCCAGGTTACTTCAACTCTCTAAGCCTCAACTTCCTCATCTGTTGTGTCTTAGTCATTATGAGGGATAAACTGTATAGACAACAATAAATATAAGGCCTAACACAAAGAAGCTGATAAAGTTAGAGAAAAGAACCTTCTGTATTACCTTCCAGTTCAGCACAGCGTTGCCCTGGCTTTTTGTGGGATTTAGAAGTAACGAAAGGGATCAGTAGATAAACCTAATTGGAAAGAAGTCATTGTCTCTTCTAAGAGCATCTGTTTCCCCTGGTCTGTGCTCTGGAGGTCAGGGAGATGCCAGCAAAGCTGAGTCAGCAGCTAGCTAGCCTGTCCTGCCCTTAGTGTCCAGCTTTCTGTCCCTTAAACAAAAGCCAGCTGTCAGCCTTAGCATTTCCTTTCCATTAATGAATCTTTTTCACTTTTCTTCTCTTGGTCTTAAATATAGGAATGATCCAGAGAAACTAGACGCCTTCATCATGGACAAAGCCCTTTTGGATTATGAAGTGTCAATAGATGCTGACTGCAAACTTCTAACCGTGGGGAAACCATTTGCCATTGAAGGTATTAATCAGTCACTCTTGATTCCCTTTTCCCCAGGATGTGCTCCGTTTGCCAGCCTAGCAAGTCACATACACCAGCCTCAGAGGCAAAAAGCTATTCATCATCCCTTGTTTTCATTTCAATTCATAAGCACTTAGCTATTAAGATGCTGAAGTTAGGAATTTATTTTTTACCTACTCAACAAACATTTATTTACCCAGTTATTGGGGGGGGGTCATCATTACCCAAATGATGTTGCTTCAGATATCTGGGAGGGGTGGCACATATAATAAATGGGAAGCCCATTAATCTAATCTGTATTTTATAATAGCCAGATGCTGCAGTGATTCTGATGCAAAATTTAGAATGAGTACATTTTATAACTGGAAAGGGCCCCAACATCGATCTAATCCAGTCTACTCATTTTATGCACAAGAAAACCCAGGGGCATTATATCACATTTTTATAATCATATAATTAGACAATAACACTGGGATCAAAATCTAAATCACATGGTTCTTGAATAAGTGTTCTTCCACTAATTGGAAAATAAGTAGAAAAAAAATCTCGTTCTATGGTTTAGTACCCTTTGGGGTCCTAAACAGAGCTGTATTTGGGACCTCAGGCTTGCCTGTTTCCCCACTGGAAGCAAATTTTTGCTTCCAACTGAATCAACCCATCCATCAAATTTCAAGACCAAGGAAAGATTGCTTTGTCAGTAGCTTCTTTCATTTTGAATGATGGTTGATATAAGGAGCTGATAGTTTGAACCAGCAAATTTCACATCTCCCAATTCCCAGCTTCCCTTCCCTGACAGTACATGCTGGCTCCCAAGACAGCCATGCTCACTTGTCAGAAAACACTTTGGCTTAAAACAATCCCATGGGGGTGCCCAATCCTAGTTTCGGAAATTTGCACTTTCCTGTAGGTTAACTAGGATATCAAGGCCATACTGATTACAATTTGCCCAGTTTCCCAGCCACAGTTGGTCTCTGTCTCCCCTAAACACATCAGCAGATTTTTTTTTACTTTAGTCTTTGTTTTTGTGATAAAATAAATGTAACAGCTGATGCCTTATTTGAGACTTCTCCTAAGAGAAATTAGTCTCCTCTCCAGGCAAAGTGGCCCCCCACCTAAACCAGGGACGAAACTCAGAAAGAGAAAGTCAGTGGCAGTGGTCTTCTATACTATTAAGACTACAATCCGGGATTTCAGAGAAAGAAAAAGAAAATGAAAAAGCTAGAAAACCAAATGACATTCAGGATATGACCCCATTTTTATGTGACCATGTAAAAATTCTCAATTGTTTTGGCTTCTAGGGATGTTACATTTTATTTCTGTCCTAGACACACTGGGTAATTGAGGTCCCTTTGGCAATTAGCAGCTACTAGCAATGCATCATTTTCAGAGGGCAGAGGAATGGCAGGCTCCATTGTCCACCTTTGTCTTCAGGGGGCAACCTTATCTTGTCAAAAAACAGTGGTAAGATGGCTTGTTTGCCTCTGCTAGACCCTAGTGCCAGATGCCACACAATTAACTCCCCACTGGCTTCCTGTTTACATTTCCATCTGTGCTCCTGAGACTCGATGTCTCACAGTTCCCACCCTCTCTAGACTCCACATTGTTTTCAAGG